CCCACTATCTGGCAACTAACCCTATGTAAACGGGGCCAGTGTCAACATAAATTCCATAACAACTTGTATAAATGTATATCTCGGATTTTCTGAAGGGTCGCCTGAGATCAGGTCGGTCTCTCACCATAAACACGCGAACCGACGGGGGCGGATATCCGCCCCCTTAAGGTTTTTCGCGAATAGCGAAAAAACCACGCCGCGTAGCGCCGCGAAATTTTGTACGACTATTCTCTCATCAATTTTACACATGGTGTGCAAGTTTGAACCTCCTACCTTTTAAGGTCAGGTAAACAGGTCACTTTGAATGACCCAGCCTCAAGTCACTTTTTTGCAAATTTGTCACCGTGCCAGAGCTACAGTATGTAGATGTCGGAGGCCTTTGAAAGTCACAGGATGTCATTAGGTCATTAGTAGCACAATTTGTATATTTCGGAATTTTGATATCGGTGACCTAAGGTCAGGTCAATTTCTCGACCTCCCCATTATAAGTCAATATGGGGGAAAAATCAACTCCCTGTTTTTACCACTAAAACGGGTTGGAATGGCCCCATATACCATACATGACTTCATATACGATCAACCTTCACTACCTTGAGGTCTGTTTTGCTGTTGGGCAGCTGTAAGGTCATGTGACGTCATCAAAGGTCACCAACGTTTTTTTGCCAATAACTCCGTACAGGAACTAGATACAGCCGCGCAGATGGTCTCATTGTGTTCAGCTCGTCAAGACGCATCGAATGATAGGTATACATGATGACCTCGAGGTCACGTGACCTGAGGTCATCCTTTGACCTTGACCTTTCGAGGTCAACATATATATCATTCGATGCGGATTGACGAGAGGATCACGATGATGCCCTTAGTTTGTTTCTATCTTGACTAATTCAAAAGTTATTCGAGAAAAACTATCTCCATATCTAGCGCCGTCATTGACTTTTTTGACCTCTGTGACGTCATCTTAGACCTGACCTGAAAATGACCTGTGTAAAAATTGTAAACCTTGTCCGTGCGTATCCCATGCCGTTTACCGCTTGTCGCTATCTTGCTTTGTTCTCGAGATCTCAGGGGGGGGGGGCGGTCATCCGCCCCCCGTCGGTACGAAGTTGGCGCAGACCCCCGTCGCGTCGGTGCGCGTGTGTCAGGGGGAATATGGAAATTGCTAGTTTGGTCCGGAAATGATCTACAACTATCTCAAATTCTCAAGCACACGGAATCTAAATTTCATGCGCTCCTTGCAAGGTCTGATGCTTCTCTTTTGCTTTGTTGATCTTGCGTGACGTCATTTATCACCTTACTAAGGCTACCAGTTTTTTTGTCAATAACTCCCGATCAACTAAAGCTACCGAGTCGATAAAGCCACTGATGAACATGGAAAGACCTGCCGAATCGATTGATATGCAATATGACCTCCTTTGACCAGCTTCGTGACCTGACGGGCTGTGACCTGACCTTGACCCGAGTTTAACCTTAAGTTGATCTCACCCGAAGAAAAAGTATACCATTCGACACACCTGAGCTAGACAAACACGATGCTGCTAAAATCGCGGATCTGCGATCATTTTTAGCGAAGTTATTTACAAAAAACCGAACCTGTGCCGTGGGCCACTTGACCTGACCTCAGAAGTCATCGGCTGACCCTAGTCCTTAAAATCGGAGACCAATCGCTGCATTTCGTAACGACGCACACGATCGTTTCTTTCGTGAGGCTCGAGCTCAATTAGGGGCGAATCGGCGAAGGGGGGTTGTTCCCTCACTTCCAAGTTCCAACCCCCCAACTCCCCCTAGGTATTCAGAAAACCTGAAGGTCCGGTGAGGGTTAAAACGTTGCTCCTGAACGAGGAAGAAATGTTAAAATCAAAGCTCTATAGACGTCCTGTAAAAGTGGCCATAATAAATAAATTGGTTTAGAGATAAGATGCTTTTTAAACGACTTCCTCATATAAAATCGGGTGCTGGGACCAATCATATAAACGCTTTAGAATGGACAGGGCGTCACTGGCTAAAGTTTGGGTGCAGAAAACGGCTATTAAATGCAAAATGGTTTTCATGCATTTCAGTCAATTGTATATTGATGGTCCCAGTGGCCGAGCTAAAAAAGTTCGGTAGTGTTTTGCATCTTTTACGCCCAAAGAAACTACACCATCTATTGAAGTGGGCGGGCTTATTTGAATGGGAGAGCGCATTATGCACCAATCGTGTGCTTTCGTTTGTATTGGACTGTATTTTAACACATCCACTGCTGGTATCACTATTAATATTATCTAATGCCGTGAATCAAACGCATATTATTGACCTTGACCTAACTTGACCTGAAATGACCACAGCCGGCAAAAACTTGTCGGATAGTGCGACAAAGAGTTGCTCTAGCTGGCTTGGCACCAATACGGCAGCGTCATCGGTATATCCTGGGCACCGCACGTGATATTCCAACGGTGACCACAAACAGCAACATTTTGTAGTTTGACCTGACCTGGAAGGTCAATGACTGACACAATGAGGTAAAATTGGGTACCATTGGATTCGTCTCTTCCCAAAAATATCTGTTGGTCTTTACCACGAAGCTCTATCTCCAGCAGGAACGAAACGGCGCGGGGGGGGGGGAGCTGGTAACCTCCCCCCCATGTGCGTTCTAGGATGGGAAAATGGCATGTGTGGGCGAGGATTAAAAAACAAGCCAAATGAATCAATGATTGAATCGATCCAAAAAAGGTGAAACCAAAAAAAGTCTGCTACCCGGTCATTAGCGTCGCCACGGGGGGGGGGGCAAGCGGGGCAGCTTGCCCCCCCCCCCAACCTCGGACCGGGCACCCCCTGAGATCGATACAGATCCGATGAGATTTTGGAGTCGGGAAAAATGGGGGTACCTTTCTGAGAATTCCTGTGAGGTCAGACTCGGTTGGAGCGTGCAGTTCAAACCAGAGTCGAAGTCGCAGTCGCCAAAATCATCAAGACTCCGACTCCAGACTCGGAAATGCCAATGCTGTGATTCATTCCCTGTTCCTAGTTGGCTCTTTATTACATTTTTATAGCTGATTTTCATAAGTTTTGGAGTGCTGACACATAATTTTCGTTCAAAGCGTGACACGAAATCCTCGGGACCTTTCTCAACTCTCGTCAAATGTCTGCGATGGGCTCAAGTACTGTTCAAGTGCCGCACGGCTCATGCGCTTGCTTTTCACACAGGCTCCTAATAAGCTCTACTGAGCTCTAAGAAGCTTTCAGAGGGCCCAAACCGACCTCTTGAGTCCCACTGGTGTCCACGTTCTCTGAGGGCCCATACAGGGACCTTTGAGGATCTTATACATACGTAGACCTCTGAAGGGCCACACGGATCTTTGAGGATGCCCTCGAGAATTTCTGAGAACACCTTAACTGGCCTCTGATAGTTCAGCCGAACTTTTGAGGCGACAGACTTTACTAACCCCAAGCCGGCATCTGAGGGGTCACAACTCACGTGTCCCTCTGAGGGCCGCAACACATGTTTCTCATGTCCCTACGTAGCGTCCTTAGGGATTAGACACAGACCCTGTCACGTGTATATTAGCCGTGATTGTGAAACGGTAAAACACAGAGAGCCAGTAGCGGGTCGCGCGCCGGTCGGCCCCTGACACTGACTTGTTTATTCTCTCAAGATCAGTCGGACAAATGACGTCACACACTGCTAGGATCGGCCGCATGACGTCACACACAGTGCACGTGCAATACATTTGCACATTGTCAAGACCCCGATGGTTCACACTGTTATCCGATGGCTCCAGGCTCACCCTGGGCCTAGTCGCTTAGCGCCCGCCGCGGGGTCCCACCTTGGGCTCAGAAACAGTAGCGGCGGAACACCTTCAATTGGGGGGGGGGGGGGCACTGACGACTTTTGGTCCTATTCTTTCCATGCAATTGCCCATAGGGCTAATGTTAAAATGCCAAAATCAAAAGGGGGCACGGTGTCCCGGTGCCCTCCCCTCTCCGCCGCCTATGCGTCAGAAAGCCCTAAAGCACCGCACATACACGTAAATATTTGAGGTGACCCACGCCGATCTCCGGATCCTAAGCAGGCTTCTGAGAGTCCAACCTGACCGTTAAGTGGCCAATGGCTTGGAAGAACCAAGCCTATCTCTAAGGGATCCCTTGCCGCTGTGCCGTGCGTAACTTTTGATACCATTAAACATTTTTGTTCGCGTTCGCGCTTCCCTTCACACGAAAAACGAGAAACTTTTTGTTCACACTCGAGTGAACAAAACACTTCCCCTCACGGGAGCAAAGATGAATTACTTCCGATTCACACTTTCGACATTCACTCTCCGCCGAATGCCCAATTTAGCTACAATCGGCGGCTGGGATAAGCCCTATGCATTTCATGTAAAACTTCTGCATGCATGCGTGAAGGGAGTTTTTAGCAGGGTGATCCGATTAAATGGACCGTTTTTTTTGCACCTTTTTCTGGGTGATGATCATGAGCGACGAGCGTCTGCGCAGGGGCCCTCTCTTGAATTTTGCACCTCCCAAAACCAATATGTTTTGCAATAACATTTGGAAATCATGGGCCATGGCGTCAAAAATGCCTACTTGTGTACCAATTTCCAATGCTTTACAGACGTTAACATTCAAGCCGTGTCACGCTAGAATGGGAAATCGGCCCAATGTGCGCTGGCTGAGCTGTACGGTGCCCGAAATGGCCGCCATCCACAAACCAAAATACCACACAAAACCCCGCCATATCGCTGCTACCAAGAAGGGTGCCGAAAACGGCGGGCCCGGGGCCGGCCGCTGACAGCAGCGGACTGAGCTGCGGTCGGACCGGGCACGGACACGGACCGGACACGGACCGGGCACGGACCGGGCACGGACACGGACCGGACACGGACCGGACACGGACCGGGCACGGACCGGACACGGACAGCAGCGGGTCGCTGCCAGCGGGTTGGCCCGCTGGCCGGTGACCGGCGCCGCAGCGCGCCAGCGCAGGTGTCACCACCGGGCGCCGGCGCGCGCGGCCGCTGGTGACCGGGCGCCGCCGCGCGCCAGCCCAGGTGTCACCGCCGGGCGGCGGCGGCGGCACAGAACAGATGGGAACACCCGACCCGACCTGACCTGAGCTGACCGGACCGGAGTGGGCGGGGGCGCACCGGGAGCGCTTCCATGAGTCAGACGGCGCCGCGAGCCCGGGTGTCGGCCGGCCGATTCCCCACCGCCGCCAGCCAGCTTGTCTAAAAAAGGCCGCCGGCGCCGCGGCCGTAACCTGAGCACGGCGGCGCAGGCGCACTGGCCCGTCGGCGGCCAGGTGCCCGCTGGAGCCAGTTCCAGGCGCCGAAACGCGGTTGTGCCGTGCAGCGAGCGGTGAACGGTGGCGAGCGCGCCCGGTTCGGCCAGCCAGTCCTCCCCCCGAACGCGACCAACACCAGCCGGCCAGCCATGTCCTCCTCCAAGACGACGCGCAAGTACACGTACATGTCGTCGTCGGGTGGCGGCGGCGGCTCCGACGTCCAGGTGGAGTTCCACACGGACCAGATCGCCCTGGCCCGCATGGAGGTGGGTACCGGCCCGGGGGCGGGCACTGGGCAGAGTGGCGCGCCGGCCCGCCCGGCCCGCAGCAGCCCGGACCGCGCCGCTCCCAGCGACCGACCACTGGCTGCTCCGCCTCGCTCGGAATGGATACCCGTGAAAGCAATGGAGGATAACATTCATCTTTCCTTACATTAATGTTCAATCTTCGCTGTCTTCTCCGACCCTGCCCAGCTGGAACATGTCGGTGTCACGGAAAATCATCCGTATTTAATATTAAGGTTTCCAAATTTAGTGTTCCCACTCTAATGCTCTGCTCTAACAATGATAATCTCGAGGGATGCTTGATTGAGACTTCCGGGTACCATAGTGCCTGACACCTATGTGCGCACTGCTTAACCCGCGCATGACGGGTATTTTCCATAACACTGCTGACGAAGGGAGGGGGGGGGGGGGCTCCATAGAGCCTCCCCTCCTGTCTCCGAAACTACTGAGCCGATTGTCAAAATTCTAGCGCTTGTTGATAGCCCTAGACAAAGTGACGAGCGGAACCTAATTAAATTGACCTCGAGGTCACCAAAGACGTCATAGGTCAGATTTAAGTAAAAATTATCAAGATTTTGGCTTGTTAACAATTTGGGCTCTGGCAGCCGGTTTACTAGTCATATCAGGCCCATTATTGGTTGACACACTCGTTAATATATGCCAAAGATAGGGTAGCGTGGGGTTATTTGGACAGTCGCACTGTGTACTTGTTCCATTATCCACTCGGTAGGGTAGACCGCGGCACGGCGCACCCCCGAGGTAATGCGCCCCACGTCCATATCTTATATTTGCACCCCCGAGGTAATGCCCGTTACGTTAATATATTATTTTTTAAAGTTCTTGCCGACCAATGAGCGGGCTCCCCAGAAAGCTCGCCTTTTATTTCTGCTGCGTCAATATTTTTTGACAGGATTGATCGGAAGTTGGAGCTGCTCTGAGGCAAACTTTGTTTTATGTGATGTTCGTGCAATATTCACGACATTTTTAACAAGTCAGTTCGTGACTTAATGTTAAAGGATGCACTTTAGCGTACTGCCATAGTTTTCGTGGGAGAAAGGCATTTATTTATTTTTGCCAAACATAGTTTGCGTCACTTACGCCGTCAGTGCGTCAGGTGACAAAGTATGATTTAGTTGACGCGAGGGTAAAGCGCCCCAGCCCCAGGGGGCGCTTTGCCCCAGTTACGCTGTACAAAGCATGTCATAAAATCACCTCTAAATATGTACCCGTCGCGTAGGAGGAAGGGGGAGGAGCATGGGCCGGGCGCGGGCACGGGGGTCACTCAGTCACTGCAATCACTCAGCCAGGGACAGGTATCAACATTTCCTAACCGCCATGAGCTTGATTTTTTACCGTGACTGCAGTTGACCAGTGGATCATTCCGAATGCTGCCAAAAATATGTCTAGCGCAAACTTGATTTATGGCTTACAGTCACGAGCAACAATTTTTAGATACGTACGTACATACCGCCGTGCTAAAGCTACAGCAGATGTTTGTTCTCACGTCCCTCGGAAGGGGGCGCCTTGCCCCGGTACCGGGGCAAAGCGCCCATTTTGACTTAAATCACTTCTTCCCTTTTGACGCGTTACCAGTAAGTGAGTCATGAATTTTGTCCCTGGGGCTATGAAGACAAACGTTCAGTGGCTTACATAAGCGCTAAGCTGTCCCCTAATTTATGGGTCCACGTCAAAACAGCTAGAGCTAGTGACTATTGAGCTAGTGACTTTTGAGCTAGTACAAAAGACCTAGTGCTTCCAAACAGCTAGTGACAAAACAGCTAGCGCTAAAACAGCTAGTAATGCAAAATAACTAGTATATCAAATCAGCTATGACAAAACAACTAGCGTCAATATAGCTAGTAGAGCAAAATAGCTAGTGCTTAAAAACAGCTATTCCCTATCACGATTCAAACGTTAAGGAGATGCGCCTTGCCCCGGTCTACCCTATGTGAGGGAAATGGCAGGGATTGGGCCGAGCGAGCTCTATGCCCCTTGCGGCCGCCAGTGTACGCGATCAATTGTTTCGTTCAATGCGGATCTATTTTCCTGAATGCTGAAATACAGACGGTTTTAGCCAATCATGAATTCCCGACTGCTCAATGACGAAAAGTTTCGATGGTTGACTATTTGTTTTGCTCAATGTTGACCCATTCGCTAGAGAAGGACCGCCGAATGGTTTTGCACAATGGAGATTCTTTGGACCAACCGCCCATTTGTAGCGCCACCTTTATGGCGAATATATACAAATGTTTTGTTCAATGGTCAAAAGCTAACGCAAAAAGGTGTAATTCGCATGGCACGCATCCAGTTTGGTTGGCGCCGCCGGCCACGTGTCGGCTGGGGCTGCAGCTGGCTGTGTAGCCGGTACGGAGCAGGCCACGCACTGCAGGGCGGCCCGGGGCGTACCATTCAGCGCCAAACCAACTCGGCGAGGGCTCAGCCACCTGGCCGCTCCTCCGATATTCGGCTGATCTGGCCGCTCACAAACTACATCTAAGCATGCTGCATTTTTATATCGCCAGTGTTACACAAAATGATCAACGCGCATAAATGACAGACCAGAATAGCTGTGTTCTTCAAAGTTTGTATTTAGTTCTCGCCTGAAGATCTGCTCTTAATCTTGTCGGTCGGGCCAAGCGGCGCACGCTCTTGGAATGTTGTACTGTTAACTAATAGCACTTTGTAACATACAAATCCTTGCGTTTTTTCATAATCACACTATATTTTTGGACTTTTGAACCATTTTTGTGAATACTTTGCTTGCTGTCATGTTTCAATTAATGCATTGTTTTTGCATACTTACTGTTTGAGATGTCCCGCTTTGATTACAAACACAGCTTAAACCTTTTCTTCCAGGTGGTACGGCTGCCGAGGACCGAAGCAGGTATACCACCAGCGTTTCCTCCCGCTCGGCCGTGGCTTAACCCTAGAGCCAGTGTACACCTCCCCGCCCAACCGTGGTGTAACCCTAGAGCCAGTGTACACCTCCCCGCCCAACCGTGGTGTAACTCTAGAGCCAGTGTACACCTCCCCGCCCAACCGTGGTGTAACTTTAGCTGCCAGGGTACACCTGCCAGGCCGGGCGTGGCATTACCCTAGCTGCCAGTGTTGAGTGTACACCCCCCCCCGCCCACCCGTGGTGTAACCCTAGCTGCCAGTGTACACCCCCGCGGCCCCGCCCACCCGTGGTGTAACCCTAGCTGCCAGTGTAGCTGCCAGTCTGTCTTAAAAGTACCGCGCAAAGTGACGGTGGATCCATCAAGCCTGACCGAGGAAGGACTGCTAAATTTGAGTCACCGAAGCAATGGACGTGCTCGTCCATTCCCCAGGTCAATTGGTTCGGTGACTTCCAAATTAAAGCAGGCCCTTCATCGGTAAGGCTTGATGGATCCATCATTACTTTGCGCGGTATACTTTAAAGACAGACTGCACATCCCCCCGTCCAACCGTGGTGTAACCCTAGTTGCCAGTGTATGTACACCTGCCAGGCCCACTGGGGAACAACAGCCTCGAGAGCGTAGAGTTTGGAGTGGTCCAGGGGAGCACGTTGGGACTCATTCTGTTCAACGTGTTCACTAATGGCATATCTAGTCACCTGTCTGATAGCTGCAAAATCGTAGCATACGCCGATGATTCTGTACTGCTGCATTAGCGCGCCTCCCACAGAAGGAGAGCTTCTCAAGTTCAGACAGAACGTAAAACGGGATCTAAGCACCCTATCTACATGGTTCAGAATCAACGGGCTCAAGGTCAATCCGTCTAAAACAGACGTGGCCTTGGTCGGAACCCCGCCATCAATAAAAAGCCGCCGATTTTCGGAGCACCGTCGACGGTATCACACTAGAGTCAAATGACCACATTAAAATTCTGGGAGTCGTCATCGACAAGTTTCTGTCGATGGAAAAACACACTGCCAAGGTCATTCAAAGGGGTTACGCCACTCTCATCACGCTAAAAAAAAAAACTAGGTGACACACCTCCCCCTCAAACCATGACTACACTCATCCAGACTTTATTTATGCCTCACGTTACATACTGCTTACCAGCCTGGGCTCCACCCACACAGCAGCTTCAACACCGTGTCAATAAGATGCTGAACTTCGCCATTTAGGATCATAACTAAGAAAAGGAAGAGTGATCACATCTCATCTGCTCGTAGGCAACTAGGCTGGTTACCATTTCAAGAGCTTGTTGAGTTCAGAGACTGTGCGCTTATACACAAACTTGTCCACAGCACCGGTGCTCCTGATAACCTCAGATCACTCGTGTGCCCCCGTGCAGGCGTGTCAGAGCGGACAACTCGTGCGATCACTGATGACATGCTTCACACACGCCGATGTCGACTTGAGGCCACGCAAAAGGCCGTGCCAGTGCGTGCTCTTCGGACTTGGAACAGTCTCCCAAACGTGATGCGGCATAACGGCAACCCGAACACCTTCCGCGCCAATGTGAAAGCCACGTGCGCAAACCGGACATAGACCGGTACGGTGATGTGCACTGTAAAAAAGATTAGCACCCCGTTGTGCTAGTCGGATGCTACGGTTCTACAACAAGAGCCCTCGGCGCTAACATGCACTTTAAGTGTTCTACATTTAGTAATCTAATACATACTCTTAGGTACTCGTCTATGCTCCGTGTCCGTAGTTGAAAATTTGTCCGCACTCGAGGCATTTTCCTGCTTCAGAAGTGCTTGGAATAGCACCAACATACGGAAGCGTGTGGATGGTTCTAATCTAAGTTTCAGTTTTAAACACCATGATTAAACTTCAGAGCTGATAAAAGCACCCAAAATACTATTCCTAGTCCCTCCATTTTGGCGGGAAGATCGCATCCGTTTTGGTGCTTTTTGGCTTCCTTGTTCAGCATCTGGGTATACGCAAACCGAGTGATACGATTCCCTTTTATGAGATTTAATTGCCATTTTCTTGTAATGTTTTCACCGTGTAACATCCATGTGCTCATTGTCTTCACCGGCTCAGCTTTTAAGGGCGATAAGAATTGATGTTTCTATTTTAATGCGATTTTTTACATCTGTGTGTTCGCTAGTTCTCACCCTGACCACCCTGTTCCTCTCTCTTGTCTTTATGTACTTGACACTGTGGTGGTAAAAGCCAACGTTATTGGATCCCACAAAGATATGAAATACAATACAATGTAATACAACCACTAATTTAAAACAAATTCAACAACAAATTCAACAGTCGCCGCACCCTGCTAAGGAAATGAAATAAGTTTAAAGCCTTGACGTAATGACATGATGTGGAGATGGAATTAAATTGATGAAATACTAGGACTTACTCCACAAGGAGATCGAATGGGTCGGAGCGCTTTCAATATGTATTATACATATCGTCGTCAGCGAATCAATAACGGGTCGAATCGAGTCGGGTATCGAAGAGGTTCGGGAGCTGCGCGGCAGAGCGATCACATACTATTCGAATTATGCATTAAAGAGAATAAAAAACACGTGAGAACAATCATGATACACTAGCTGCTAAAATGAATTAAAATGGGGTGCTAAAATGCATAAATGGCACGTATAAAAGTACAATAAGGGGGGGGGGAAACAGGATACCTATGGTGATAAAGACTGAGTAGAAAAGGGAACAAAGACTATACAAAACTGAGTGCAAAAACTGTAAAAGGACGAGTACAAATATAAATACATACAAAGGCCGAACTAGACGTAAACACTACTGACAAAAACGGCGGATTATCGGCAGCCAGCGGTCATGCAGCAGGGCACCCGAGTTCCTGTTCACGTTTGCGTCATTCGGCGACACCAGGACGGCTTCACGCCGACCAACAGTCCGAATATAGGCCGATTCCAGGAGAAGTCGCATCTGGTGATGACTGGCTCGATTCAAGATCTTGATGGCATCGAAAGCAGGTGAGCAGTCTCTATGGGTACTGAAGGCCGATGTATTGGCTCTCGAGCGGACTGCTCCAGTCCAGCTCTCCCGGTGTTCTCGGAGTCTCGTGCCCAGCTCACGATCTGTCTCGCCGATATAGACCATTGGGTCACCGTCCACTTGGCAGGAGCACTCGATCCGATAGATGACGTTGCTCTGTTGTAGCTTAGGCAGATGGTGCTTAGCCTTGCTGCAGAGCAGCGAGCCGATGGTGACTGAAGGCTTGGAGACGAGCTGGATCCCGATCTTGCTGGCCTCCCGTTTGAGTTGGTAGAACAGGGGGCCGGCAAACGGAACAGAGACTCGGACAGGCGCCGGGTGTGAGTTCGCGCTAGGTGGCGCTGGTAGGGCCCTTGCCTTCAGTCTGAGATCGGTCCGAGTCTTCTGAATGGCCGAGTCGATGAATGATCGTGGGTAGCCATGATGATGAAACTTCTGGCGGATGAAGTCAAGCTCCTGCTGGCGGTCTCTCATGGACGAACAGTATCGGATCGCTCGAGTGCAGTCAGATCGAATGGCCGCTCTCAGGTAGCGGGTCTCGGTGTAGGAGCTGAAGGCAGGCACTTGGTTGGTGTTGCAGGACTTCCTGTAGACCTTGGTGCAGAACTTGTCGTCTCTTCTAGTGATGCAGATGTCAAGATACGGTAGCTGTCGGTTTACTTCCAAGTCAGTGGTGACATTGATGCTGGAGTCCTTGCTGTTCAGCTGGTTGACCCACGTGCTGAGGATGTCGTCACTGCCCTCGAACAAGACCAGGTAGTCGTCCGCGTATCGGCAGAAAGCATGGATCTGGAGCTCCTGGCGGCCAACTGTGGTGGCAGGGTCCATGCTTTCTGCCGATACGCGGACGACTACCTGGTCTTGTTCGAGGGCAGTGACGACATCCTCAGCACGTGGGTCAACCAGCTGAACAGCAAGGACTCCAGCATCAATGTCACCACTGACTTGGAAGTAAACCGACAGCTACCGTATCTTGACATCTGCATCACTAGAAGAGACGACAAGTTCTGCACCAAGGTCTACAGGAAGTCCTGCAACACCAACCAAGTGCCTGCCTTCAGCTCCTACACCGAGACCCGCTACCTGAGAGCGGCCATTCGATCTGACTGCACTCGAGCGATCCGATACTGTTCGTCCATGAGAGACCGCCAGCAGGAGCTTGACTTCATCCGCCAGAAGTTTCATCATCATGGCTACCCACGATCATTCATCGACTCGGCCATTCAGAAGACTCGGACCGATCTCAGACTGAAGGCAAGGGCCCTACCAGCGCCACCTAGCGCGAACTCACACCCGGCGCCTGTCCGAGTCTCTGTTCCGTTTGCCGGCCCCCTGTTCTACCAACTCAAACGGGAGGCCAGCAAGATCGGGATCCAGCTCGTCTCCAAGCCTTCAGTCACCATCGGCTCGCTGCTCTGCAGCAAGGCTAAGCACCATCTGCCTAAGCTACAACAGAGCAACGTCATCTATCGGATCGAGTGCTCCTGCCAAGTGGACGGTGACCCAATGGTCTATATCGGCGAGACAGATCGTGAGCTGGGCACGAGACTCCGAGAACACCGGGAGAGCTGGACTGGAGCAGTCCGCTCGAGAGCCAATACATCGGCCTTCAGTACCCATAGAGACTGCTCACCTGCTTTCGATGCCATCAAGATCTTGAATCGAGCCAGTCATCACCAGATGCGACTTCTCCTGGAATCGGCCTATATTCGGACTGTTGGTCGGCGTGAAGCCGTCCTGGTGTCGCCGAATGACGCAAACGTGAACAGGAACTCGGGTGCCCTGCTGCATGACCGCTGGCTGCCGATAATCCGCCGTTTTTGTCAGTAGTGTTTACGTCTAGTTCGGCCTTTGTATGTATTTATATTTGTACTCGTCCTTTTACAGTTTTTGCACTCAGTTTTGTATAGTCTTTGTTCCCTTTTCTACTCAGTCTTTATCACCATAGGTATCCTGTTTCCCCCCCCCTTATTGTACTTTTATACGTGCCATTTATGCATTTTAGCACCCCATTTTAATTCATTTTAGCAGCTAGTGTATCATGATTGTTCTCACGTGTTTTTTATTCTCTTTAATGCATAATTCGAATAGTATGTGATCGCTCTGCCGCGCAGCTCCCGAACCTCTTCGATACCCGACTCGATTCGACCCGTTATTGATTCGCTGACGACGATATGTATAATACATATTGAAAGCGCTCCGACCCATTCGATCTCCTTGTGGAGTAAGTCCTAGTATTTCATCAATTTAAAGCCTTGAGTGGAAAAGGGGCAGCATGCAAACAATTAAAAACCTTCGGGCAGTAGGTATGCATAGTTGCTATCAAAATGGTCGGGTAGCATACTATCCTAGTCGTATGCATACTGTCCAGGCTGTCGGGTAGTTTGCATACTACCCGGGTAGATTGCATATGTACAGCCCAAGACGTAGACTCTGCTACCGCGGTGTGATGTGGCTGAACAAGTCGCGCATACCTGTCGGTGACAGGCATTTTCGTCGGAAACTTAAGCGACATATATTGTCCAGGCGTTGAGTGAGTGTGCGTGTGTTGTATGCATTATGTATCACGTGCTGACTGAGACCTGGTGAGCGAATGTGCGTGAGTTGTATGCATGCATGATGAGCGTATGGACACGACACATACATTAGTCGATTTAATAGCCTACCCATGTACATGACGTGCAAATGAGAATAGCCACCTAGTATGTGGACATATTGCGAAATATATCTGAATCTGAATCTGAATCAAGTTAGGATATTGCCCGTACCACATGTCCAATGTCCAATGTCCGTGTAGGTGCCGCGCGCCGGCCGGCCGCCGCCCGATGTGACGCGCGCTGTCTGTGTGCCCGCAGGACCGCATCCGCCAGCTGCAGGATGACCTCGAGTCCGAGCGCGAGATCCGACAGCGGGTGAGTGGCCACCACCACCGACGCACCCCCCCTCTTCCCCGCTCTCTGTCTCTGTCTCTGTCCCCCCCTCTCTCTCTCTCTCTCTCTCTCTCTCTTTCTGTCTCTGTCTCTCTGTCTCTCTCTCTCTCTCTCTCTCTCTCTCTCTCTCTCTCTCTTTCTCTCTCTCTCTCTCTCTCTCTCTCTCTCTCTCTCTCTCTCTGTCTCTCTGTCTCTCTGTCTCTCTGTCTCTCTGTCTCTCTGTCTCTCTGTCTCTCTCTGTCTGTCTGTCTGTCTGTCTGTCTGTCTGTCTGTCTGTCTGTCTCTCTCTCTCTCTCTCTCTCTCTCTCTCTCTCTCTCTCTCTCTCTCTCTCTCTCTCTCTCTCTCTCTCTCACCGTTATTCTGAAGGCTACGCTTTTTCCATAGCCAATGGTGTTTTCTACACTATGCGTGATTTAATCACGTGCGAAAATCAGTCATTATACCCCTACGAATTTAAGCGCCGCCCAGCCCGCAAAAAGGAATTACTTACGGCGTTCCGTCAAGTATGCCAGATTTGGCGTATATGCCAATTCGGTTTCATAAAGCCGGAGACCGAAGTAAGTCACGCCATCGAAATTACGGAGCATCATTTACGGCAAATGCTAGATTCTGGACTAATTGATGCCATTTGGGTTTCACAGTCTTGAATATGTTTGAATGCTAATTTAAGAGATATTGTAACAAATAGTAAGAAAATTAACCTCACTCTCATTCTATCTAAAAGTAAATTCCGGATTCGAAATAAAACAAATTCTTGAGAAGCTTTCGGCATTGCGCCATCATCAGCTGTGGAGTTTTATTTGCAAACATTTGAGTAAATATGCATTCGGGCTGATAGTTTTGTCTGCAGTTATTTCATCCAGTACTTCCTTCATATTATATAACAGTTGGCGGCGCAAGAACATTTCGTTACACACATGCATGTAGATCGACATCGTATCAAATAAACATCGTATAAATTGGCATCAAATAAACCTCGTATCGTATCGTGCATCATTCTTTTGAACATATTCTTTGGAACAAATAGGTGCCCCAGATATTGTGAATTAAAACACATTAAATACATTCATCACACAAACACACAGCGAAAAAAAAAAACACACACACACATACAACATACAAATAGGACATACACATTGCATACAGTTGATCGATGTCGATCAGTCTGTCAGGCTCAGGTGCCACGTCGTATCAAAGACCACGTTGAGGTTTGTGTGTTAAGGGTAGGTTTCAGATCACGAATGTATATTGATTCCCAAATCTTTCTGTCTGGACCGTCTTTGGAGACATGCAAAATTTGGATCGAGATGTTGTCGCTGCCCAGCTGAATATCTGGATGTTTAGTTTGATGGAAGCCAAAGGGAGTGTCTTCTTTTCTGTTCCGAGCATCTCTGATGTGCTCGTTACAACGAGCTCAGGTACAACGAGGCTCAGGTACAACGAAGTCTCATGTATTCGATTCTCACGAGTTCAGCCAATTTCATAAAGCAGTTATTTTAGAATAAATTGAACAAAAAATCACTTCCTAACCTTAGTATAATTGTGTTTATGCGCAGGAACGTGTGCTCTTAAGGAGGGGCTTTTGGGACATCGGGCAGTCTTTTTGTGGTTGTGAAATGCTCACAACCACAAAAAGACTGAAACGCACAGATAATGTGCGCCGACATCCGAACCATTATTTCGGTGTGATATGTTCTCGAGAAACAGGCCACAGGTCAACAGTCATTTGAGTGAGGGCCCTAAAAGTTTTAGAGTAAGTGTAAAACTGATTGACTCGAGGGTACTAAGAGCTTAAAGGTGATCACACATTTTTTGCGTGAATTATTTGCAAAAACCGAGGTGGTCCGTTCGACTCCCGTAAGTCCGAGGATTTAAAGGGAAACAATCACGTTAAGTACAAAATTTGATATTTGATGGAATCTGCTGCCTGATTTCAGGAACGGCAAGCCATATGTTTGTTTAATATGATAATAGTCGTTATTTGAAAATATATAAGCATGACCTTTCCTCGATATTGAATAAAAAAAGTGCCGAAAAATGTGCTTTATTGACAGAAAATATGTGATATTTCGGCCACTGCCCTTTGTCGAACATATATAATCAAGCTAAACAATAGTTTCGTTTCGCCGCATCGCGTTCCAACTGCCTCTACAAAATTACGTACATCAGTTCGTGACAAAATCGATATCGTACCACTGTAACAAAGTAGGTATTATAATTCCGTTGAAAGGTGAAAACTCTATCTATGAGAACACAGGTTTAGATACACCTACCGGCCAATAACAATACCTATAATCAGGTTTAGATACCTTCATAAAGCTAGAAAATCATGACAAAGGCTTTAGACCGAAAGAAAGTAAGGACAGTTTAAGACGAAATTATCCTAACATCTGTGAAGACCGCGTGTGGAAGGTGAGTCTATACAAATCAAATGAAAACAAGCACATCAATAAACAATCCAAATCACTAATACATATCTCAAAGCAGTTCGCACAACACATATACACACATGAACAATGTACATACATATAATTTCACAGGATAGGCCATGACGAGTCGTTACTGTTTAGACGTGGGCGGTGGTTCCTGATCATCAAAGACTCGGCTATTTTTCGATCCGGGTGGTCCTTAGACCTGTACATGACTTTCACAGTGAGAGGTACTTTGCCATCTACTGAAATATTAGAGTGGGAGGCCTGGAAATGCTCTCCCATGGGAGTATCTGGATATAGTTGTTGTTGAGCTGTGATGTCTCCATATTTCAGTCGCTTGGCTGGCTTAGAATTGCGCCGCCTCTGAGCTAATTTTGAATAGTAAACCTATCGCAGTGACAGAGTTATTGTTCGTTTTTCTAAGTTCGACCCTCACTGTAAACATCTTTTTGAACACAGCACGAGAATTGCTTCAATTGCTAGCTGAATTTCTGAGAAAACTGGCTAGCGTTAAATGGATTGGAGCTATCAATAATTTTTAACGAAGAAGTTTTGAACACCGATGACGTAGCGTCATATAAAACGCCGTGCGATGTATTAATTAATCGAGTTAGTTGCTGACAAGTCGTCTGTATCTGTGGAGTTGTAAATATAGACAAATAGGAGCTTGAGAGTCTGCGAAACAGGAGCCAGGTAGAAATAATCTTACCATACCAGCGCGCTGGTCATATGAAAACTGAACAAAAGTGAATGCATTATGTTGTATGTAATTATGTAGGCATGAGACCCTCTATAGAGAGAGGAGGCCCCTTTAGGGAAGAGGCCCTCTGTAGAAAGGAGGCCCTCGGGATTCCTCCGCCCCCCCCCCTTAGCCAAATCCTAGTTACGTGCCTGGCGCAGGTTAAGGTATTAGGTACAGGTTTCACCGGTAAATAAAATAAATTTATTATGGAGCGAGCGAAGCGAGCAAACTTTCGGATCTGTAGCGCTCCCCGAAAAGCGCATAGGTATACATACCTACCATACAGTTAAATGAAGTAAGTAAACAAACTTAACCCTACTGGCATAAACATACAAGTTTTAACCCGCGCCCCGTAGGGCTATCGGCGGACCCTACCACCCGTAGGGGGGGGGGGGCGTTTCGGCCCCCCTAAGATCTCGGAAATTCATTGGCCGATTTTCAAAATTCAAACGGCGTTCGATAGCCCCACCGCGGAACTACCTTGTGACCAAATTTCATTGACCTAGGTCAAACCGATGACGTCACAGGTCAGGTCAAAGGTCGGATTTTCACCGTTCACAGGCATTTCAAGAAATGTGTTGTGAAATCGAGTAAATTGGTAATTTATTAAAAACCATCGATGGTAAATTGTTCGTCAAACACATACTTTGCTATCTGAGTTAACTGATACCAGGTCAGGTCACAGCGAGGTCAGGTCACCGGGGTCACAATATGAAAGTGTCGTGTGATGCATGTTTTATGGTCCATTTTACATGACAAATGCGATTATGTGGGCTAGGCAGCCTTTGGGGCCAGTCTAGGTCACGTTTTGGTGAAGGTCAGGTCAAGGTCAGGTCAAATTAGGTCAAATTTCAAAGTTGATATTTTTGCATAAAATGGGTATCGATTCGATGCAGCTCGTCACGGGGAGTCTAATGGTGGTCTTTTTTTTTTTGCTCTACGAGGTCTAGAATTGCCATAAATTGAGTTTGAAAATTTGACGTTGTCATTTTTGAACAGTTTTTTCGCTATAACTTGGCCAAAAAACGAGATATCGATCTGAAAGTTGGTATGTGGATAGAAGACGGTAGGTACTATCACATATATTCCGGTTTTTTGAAAATCAAAAAACTTTTTGGATTTTTCGGCTAATATATCCAAAAAATGCTTTTTTGATTTTTGGGGGTCAAAACTCATAATTTTAAAATCCGAGATAGTAGTTTTGTTGCCCTGTTGATTCTACACCTTTTATGTTCTGATCATTTTCTGTATCTTCAAAGCTGTAGGCCTGACAGGTCTTCTCGCGAAGGTCTTTTTCCGGTCGAAAATGACAGAACATGACGACATTCTGACGTCATTTGTGGCCAACCTATCATGGCCTCTGGAAAAAAGACCCAGAGGGGTCCTGAACGTTTGGTGGCGATATCTCCAGCCGTTTAGGAGATATCGACGGAAAAGGACAGGGGGGGGGGGCGTTTCGGCCCCCCCTACGGGGCGTGGGTTAACAACCAAACTAATAATCCCCTTAAACATATATCACGAATCTATAGGTACAGTTATCGCGTAAACCTGTATTCTAGTTTTGATAAAAGTAGATCGTCTGTGAAATCAATGTTCGCCAACCAGTTTTCTCAGTAATTCAGCTAGCAATTCTGGTGCTGTGTTTAAAGAAACGTTTACAGCGAGGGTCGAACTTGGGTCGAACTTAGAAAAAAAAACTGTAGCATGCAACCAGCGGTGACCGGCGGCCAGGGCAGCCCCTGTATGACCAGCCCCTGTATGGTTCCCCGGGTGCCGGGCACTGACTGGGCCGCCTCCGTTCCTCAGATCGAGCGAGACAAGGGCGACCTGAGCGTCAGCCTGATCCAGCTGCGGGAGCGGCTGGAGGAGGCGGAGAGCGGCGTGGACGGCCAGGTCAGTGAGCCGGCCTCAGCGCACACGGGCGCGCCGCTGCCTGCGGCTCGCAGCTGGGAGCCCAGCGGATCGAACACACAATTACACGCTAGGATCCCACGGGTTCCCGCAATGAAGAGTTGCCCTGGATCTACATATGAACACATGAGATTTAGCGACGAACCCAGGATACCTGTGCGGATCCCACAGAACGCAACCTGTGACATCACAATGTGCTGCGAATCTCCAATTGTGATATGACAAAACAGTGAATGGTGAGCTGTTATCACATGTAATTCCCCAAATAGAACCAATGTAAATTACGAAATCTGCCCCTTCATCAGTATAAATCATTTCTTTCCACGGGCGTAGGAATGTCATGAAAAGTTGGTGGGCGACCCTCTCAAGGGACGACCTTTTCCAGGGGGTCACCTATTTTCAGGGGCCTCCAACATTTGCCTCGTATTGCGTTCAAGTAGGACTCCCAAGTCTAGTGTTATAAATCAAACACTAAGACAGCTTTAACAAATTCATTTACATGTATATTGCCGAAGCAGCAAGCAAGGTACAAAACCAAACGATAAGCTCAGGTTCAAAATTCGAAATTCAATCTTAACAAAACTATATGATTAGTATTAAGAAATAACCGTATGCTCACTATCTTTTAAAGTCTAAACTTGGCCGAAAATGAATGAATTTTCGGCCAAGTTTAGACTTTTAAAGATAGTGAGCATACGGTTATTTCTCAATACTATTCAATCATGCTGATCATTAGTCATTTTAGTACTTCGCCACCTTATGAAAACTATATGATGTTCAATTGCACATTTACTTGTCACGCGTGGTTCGTGTACTTTTAGGCAGATGACTTTTAATACCTAGAGTTTAGTACTTGACCTTATCCGCAAAATGCACAAAGTTTCTCATAAAAAATGCCTATATTAATAGTTATCAAGAATGACAGGAGCCACAACATCGATTGCCTTACCAGACAGCTCCAGAATGCTTAAGCTATTCTTTGACCAGCAGTGCTTCACATTCTGATGTCAGTCATGTCGGAACCGGGGACGCCGTTGCCAGTGTGTCGCACACACTTAGGGATTTATTAACAGATGCAATTTTCATGCCACTGCCGTTTTTCCATTGCTAGACGATCAAGAAGATGTTCGCGTAACTACTTTCGACCCTGTACAGGGGCTCATCAGTCGGCAACTGCAGTAAACATAGCTGACAAGCCCTTGACCTGTGACATTTTCCAAATCCTTCAAGAACTCTTGGTCTTACAATCTTCTTGGTCTTGGTCTTACAATAACTCTTGGGACCGTTCCTGGGTAGACTGAGAGCCGCCGCGCCCCAACTGGGACCGTTCCTGGGTAGACTGAGAACCGCCGCGCCCCCAACTGGGACCGTTCCTGGGTAGACTGAGAACCGCCGCGCCCCAACTGGGACCGTTGCCGGCAGATTGAGATCAACAAGAAGCGTGACGCGGAGCTGATGAAGCTGCGCAAGCTGCTGGAGGACGTCCACCTGGAGAGCGAGGACAACCTGCACATGCTGAAGAAGAAGCACCAGGAGACGATCCAGGACTACATGGACCAGCTAGACGCCATGTCCAAGACAAAGGCCAGGTCAGTGGCCGCTTCAGCCGCGAACGAGCCAAAGCCATTGTGCCGAACCATGTTGGACGCACCACGCCTGGCCCGTGATGTAGTTCCGCGGTAAATGCCGGAACTGTTTTATTCCATGTAGGTAGTGAAGCTGAACTGATGTGACCCTGCTGTCTTTCTGTGTGATTGTGCCGACTAGTGGAGCTGAACTGATGTGGCCGCGCTGTCTTTCTGTGTGATTGTGCAGGCTAGTGGAGCTGAACTGATATGACTCTGCTGTGTTTCTGTGTGATTGTGCAGGCTAGAGAAGGAGAAGAACAAGTTCCAGACCGAGGTGTACGAACTCATGAGCCAGCTCGAGGGATCAAACAAAGATAAGGTAAGGGACCCTATCAGCGACAGCCGCTACAGCTGTCAGCGCACTGGTGCGAGTGTTTCAGCCAACATTGCCACCAAACGTAGATGTTCCGAAACGATTCTATCAATACAAAATTTAAATCCAAATATTCACTGCTTACCGTTTCGTTGATACGAAACGAATGCAAGCAATAGGGCTAAGGCAGTGCCGGTTCGGGTGGGCCGTTGTGACCGCTCCGCCCGGCTCTGGGCCGCTCCCGCAGGTCACCATTCAGAAGCAGTGCGAGAAGCTCGAAGTCACCGTGCACGAGCTCAACATCAAAATCGAAGAGATCAACCGGACAGTCATCGACCTGACCAGCGCTAAGACGCGCATCTCGCAGGTACGTTAAGACGCGCATCTCGCAGGTACGTTAAGACGCGCATCTCGCAGGTACGTTAAGACGCGCATCTCGCAGGTACGTTAAGACGCGCATCTCGCAGGTACGTTAAGACGCGCATCTCGCAGGTACGTTAAGACGCGCATCTCGCAGGTACGTTAAGACGCGCATCTCGCAGGTACGTTAAGACGCGCATCTCGCAGGTACGTTAAGACGCGCATCTCGCAGGTACGTTAAGACGCGCATCTCGCAGGTACGTTAAGACGCGCATCTCGCAGGTACGTTAAGACGCGCATCTCGCAGGTACGTTAAGACGCGCATCTCGCAGGTACGTTTGGGCGCGCATCTCGCAGGTACGTTAAGACGCGCATCTCGCAGGTACGTTAAGACGCGCATCTCGCAGGTACGTTAAGACGCGCATCTCGCAGGTACGTTTGGGCGCGTGCCCTCTCGCCAGACGGCATAGTTCGGCCAGTAAGGCCCCATTACCTTCGCATCTACATACATTAATTACAGAGTGATAGGTAAAGACAAGCCAGCCAGGTGAGTGAGCGGAGGGGACCGTGTCCAGTCGTGAGGGCACGTTAAACGTTCGGACAAAATTCTGCCATACAACTGGAATTGCACGATCGGGTGGTGGGATCAGGGTCAGCACAACAAGCCATGCTTAGTGCGGGCTTTGATTCCTCAAATCCGCCCATTCAGCCATTCGGACTAAAATTAAAAAAAAAGACTGATGCGGGGGGTGGCGCTAATACGTCGATGGGGCCAACACAGCTAGACCATAGCTGGATAGCTAGACCACGAGAGCGCTGGCATGCAGCGGCAGTGCAGAGGAATGCATCTGACTTTGCTCTGTGGGCCGCGCTCAGGAGAATATTTCGCTGACCAAGGAGGTGCAGGAGCTGAAGGTGTCGCTGGAGAACATTGAGTACACCAAGCACCAGCTGCAGACGGCGCTCAACGACGCCAACCGCCGGCTGGAGGAGGAGGACCGGGTGAGAGGACGGGGGGACGGGGGACAGGGGGGACGGGGGACGTAAGAAAGACGGTTTACATTACTTGTCATGGGTAGTTACCGCAGTTATAGTGGCTACTGAAGACAACAACCATTAAGAAGTAACCGGCCATGCGATCACGGCTTTCAGTTCAATATAAATTCTAATGGTCATAAATTTCCGCTTATCTGGAAAACTTCACTTCAGTCGATTCACTCATAACAAACAAGACAAGTAAGAAGCCAATTGTTTGGTGGCGACAAACGAGCGAGCCCAAGAGTGAGCCCTGCACGTGCGCTAGTGCTAGGGGGTGCCTCCAACTGACTTCTGCACGACTCACTACTAACCGGTCCATAGCAGTTTGCCAAATTTGAGCGCCATCGGCCCAGCCGTTCTCGAGATGTGAAAGCGCCATTTCTTGCACGTGCTCATGTGCAGCCTGTGCCAAACGGAGCTTTCCCGGCGGCCGGCACTCCACTCACCGGCTTTTAAGAATGTTCGAAGTTTGAGTGCAATCAGCCCAACCGTTCCAAGGTGTACCACAGACACTGTGCACGCACGCACGTGCAAAGTGAGATCCATTTGATCTCTGTCCGGCACCTTTCTCACCGGTTTCTAACGATATGCCAAATTTGAGCGCAATCGGCCCAGCCCTTCCCGAAATCTGGAAATGACCCCTGCAGATGTGCACGTGCAGTAGCACCACAAACGTGACATATGAAAATATGTACATTGCCTGGTGGGTGCCTAACGACACGCCAAGTTTCGGCACAATTGCCCTAGTAAATTCCAAGTTATTGTAATGGAAACAAACTTGACACCTCTGTTTCGCAAGTGATACGTGCACAGTGACAAGTGGGGGTCAGTTACATGTCAGTGGGAGTGGGGAGTGGGGGTCAGTCACATGTCAGTGGGAGTGGGGAGTGGGGGTCAGTCACATGTCAGTGGGAGTGGGGGTCAGTCACATGTCAGTGGGAGTGGGGGTCAGTCACATGTCAGTGGGAGTGGGGGTCAGCCACATGTCAGTGGGAGTGGGGGTCAGTCACATGTCAGTGGGAGTGGGGGTCAGCCACATGTCAGTGGGAGTGGGGGTCAGCCACATGTCAGTGGGAGTGGGGGTCAGTCACATGTCAGTGGGAGTGGGGGTCAGTCACCTGTCAGTGGGAGTGAGGGTCAGTCACATGCATTGAGGATAGTCTAATGCTTGGCAAAAAGGGATGCAACTATCGGCACTGCGCGGCGGTTGCTGAGACATACACTTTTTAAAAGCGTTATAGGCCGGTCTTATACTAAAAATTACCTTGTATTGAAAGGAACCGCCTTGCGATTCACTGGTAATTATCTTGCTGGTAATAATAAGTAACTAATTTCCGTGAAATTATGACAGCTTGGTAAGGGAATTGAACTATGCGTTGCCCATTGTAGATTCCTGCGAGTGTTTAGCCGCTATTATGTTCTGTATAGTTAACGATTGCGAATCACTTTAAGTGCTTAAGTAAATACAACACAAGACGAAAAAAAGGAAATGAATACACGGCCCAAAAGTATTTTCAAAAGTAAGCCGGTATTTTCACCTTACCAGTACATGAGGTCACAGATGAGATAATACTATCAAGGTCATAAATGAGGTACTATCTCATCCATGTCAACTGTCAAGTTATTAGGGCTTCACGCGCGTTTTTCATAACAGCACTTGAAAGAATTTGCCAGCGTTAAAAAGCGGACTGCACGCATGATCCTGAGGCCGGCAGCGCTGTGACCTACGGACTGTGAGATGGACCTATGGACCGTGACCAGTGGACTGTGAGATGGACATATGGACCGTGACCTATGGACTGTGAGATGGACCTATGGACTGTGAGATGGACCTATGGACCGTGGCCTATGGACTGTGAGATGGACCTATGGACCGTGACCCATGGACTGTGAGATGGACATATGGACCGTGAGTGTGACCTATGGACTGTGAGATGGACCTATGGACCGTGGCCTATGGACTGTGAGATGGACATATGGACCGTGACCCATGGACTGTGAGATGGACTTATGGACCGTGAGTGTGACCTATGGACTGTGAGATGGACCTATGGACCGTGACCCATGGACTGTGAGATGGACTTATGGACTGTGAGATGGACCTATGGACCGTGACCTATGGACTGTGAGATGGACCTATGGACTGTGAGATGGACCTATGGACTGTGAAATGGACCTATGGACTGTGAGATGGACCTATGGACTGTGAGATGGACCTATGGACCGTGACCCATGGACTGTGAGATGGACTTATGGACTGTGAGATGGACCTATGGACTGTGAGATGGACCTATGGACTGTGGCCTATGGACTGTGAGATGGACCTATGGACTGTGGCCTATGGACTGTGAGATGGACCTATGGACTGCGCAGCTGGACTCGTCCGGCAGCTGGCCAGCAGCGCTGACGGTGCGTGTGCGTGTTACAGCGCCGCTCGGCGCTCGAGTCGCAGCTGCACACGGTCGAGACGGAGCTGGAGTCGATCCGGCGTCAGCTGGAGGAGGAGTCGGAGGCGCGCCTAGACCTGGAGCGCCAGCTGGTCAAGGCCAAGGCCGACGCCGACAACTGGCGCGTCAAGTACGAGAACGAGGCGCTGGCGCGCGCCGAGGAGATCGAGGAGCTGCGCCGCAAGTTCGCGCTCAAGATCCAGGAGCAGGAGGAGCACATCGAGTCGCTGATGGCCAAGCTGGCCCAGGTGGAGAAGCAGAAGTCGCGACTGCAGTCCGAGGTGGAGGTGCTCATCATCGACCTCGAGAAGGCCAACGGCACGTGCCGCGAGCTCCAGAAACGGGTGGAGATGCTGGAGCGCATGAACAGCGACCTCAAGTCCAAGGTGAGTGGGTGGGCTGCGGCTGCGCCGTTCGGTGCGGCGGGCTGGGTCGGATCGGGGTGGGGGGCTACATTCCCTTCAACACCCTTTTCCACTCAGTTTGAAAAGGTTCCAGTTCAATTTGAAAAGATGCACTTCAATTTGAAAAAAGATGGGATTCAATTTGAGTCATAGGCATCTTTTCCAACTTGAAGTGCATCTTTTTCAATTTGAGCTCCAACTTTTTCCAACTGAACGAAAAAGGTGTAGATACCGAGCGCCGGTGGAAAGAATGAGTACATTACCGGTGGAACTTGATGCATGGTTTTAGCAGGAGCATCTCGTGGGTAACGTAAAGACCGCCTACATTTTCCCGGCTGGTTAAACTCGTGACCCGTTGGGGGCCCGAAGGGCACTCCCGTGGTTTTTCACAGGCAGCTGAAAAACGGCCGGATTTTGGCTCCCCGTTTTTAATACCGTTCCGAATAAAACTGAGTTATAAAGGTCAAACTGAGGTCATGCTCGTCCTTGTTTGGTTAAAAAGTTGTTGACGTGAAAATCCCAGAAAATCAAATTATTAACCCGCGCCCGGCTGGGGGTCCTGGATTTCCACGCCCTGCTGGGGGGGGGGGGGTGTTTGAACACCCCCCCTTGTAACTCGGCTCCTGGGCCACGTAGCGATACGCGGAAGGCGGCGTTCGAAAGAGCGTCAAAAATAATGACGAAATCACTTCGGTCAATTTTTTGGTCAGGTCAAAGGTCAGGTCACCAGAGGTCATTGAAGGCAAAATTTCGCCGATTTCCAGGTCGAATGGCGAAAATTTCCAAGAAGCCAACGCATAACTCGGGAACCAATAGAGCTACAGCGCCGCGGAAAAGCGCATTCGATAGCCCTATTAACGCCCTTTCTGAGTAATTCTCTCAGATTTGACCTAGCGTCAACGGTTTTGCCTGCAGGGGGCAAAAACTGCAAAAATAGCCGATTTTTTCGGAAACAGTTTTCTGCAATAACTTTTGACCCAAGCCCTGTACGAGCTTACTTTTACCGGCATCATGTTCCTCTCGTCAAGACGCATCGATTAAACTATAACTTGACCTTGAAAGGTCAACTTGAAAATTTGACCTCAGGTCAAGGTCATGACCTGACCGGAAAGGGTCATGTTGCATATCAGTCGATCCGTATCGTCGAGCTGAACACATCTAAGGCGTTTTCATCGCTCTAGCATGCCTCTATCAAAAGTTATTTGCGAAAAACTGTTAGATACCATTCGTGACCTAAGATGACCTCAGGGCATAAACAAGGGTCACGGACACCATTTTCATGTTCAGTGTGTCTAAACCACTTGTAATTCGGTGTTTGGGAGTGTTTATAATGTCTTTCATCCAAAAGAGGCGCATTTCAATTTTCTCCCATTGACTTATAATGGGGAGGTCGCAAAATTGACCTGACCTTAGGTCATCGATATCAAAATTCTGAGATATACATTATGTAGGTACATGCTATTGCTCTTAGCAATCGCTGAAAGTTTCAAAGCGATCGGTCACTCGGTGTAGCTATGACAGACATTGAAACTTTTTTATGAGGTGAGGTCACTTCAAGTGACCTGGTGACCTGACCTTGAATGACCTTGGTCTGAAATTTTCACAACATGTGTAGAATTGATGTATAATAAGGTGTATCAAAAACGGCGGCGCTCCGCGCCGCCGTTTTTGAGATATTCGCGAAAAACCACAAGGGGGGGGGGGTGTTCAAACACCCCCCCAGCAGGGCGCGGGTTAATCTAAATACCTCGAAATCGATTTGTAGGCACGAAAAGCATGGCAAACAAAACCGGTATATCAAAATATTACAAAATATTAGATATCACGATTTTGATATTTTAAACTGAAAATGGATATATTTTGTTTTAATTTAAGGATGTTAAAACTGCATACACGCCAGAGAGCATTAAATTGCCTTGACACACACCAAAAAGGAACGAAATATGTCTAAAACTGACAGAGATAAACTATCTAAAAGCCTACAAATACTGTTATATGACGTCATAATAATCGACTGTTATCATGACGTCATACTATTTTTCATTCCTACTTGTACTTCTTTTTCGTTTTTTTTTAAACCGTTTTGGCTTCATGTACGTTTTTCGAGCTAAGTACTTTCGAACGTTTTAGGCAGCGAAAACGGCAGAAACTGAACCTGAGAAAATCAAACGTCGCCTAAGTTTAACATGTGAATTATCCCCGATAAATTTCATACGTGCGTTTTGGAACTGTAATTGAAACAGGGGTAATGTCATGCTGTCGACCTTGCATGACGGTGTAATGTATAGCCATAGTGTAATAAATAACCTTTGTTTATTACGCCTTTGTTTGGGCGTCGGTGTTGCCGGCGCTGGACTGTGTGATCCTGCCGGCGCTGGACTGTGTGATCCTGTCGGCGCTGGACTGTGTGATCCTGCCGGCGCTGGACTGTGTGATCCTGCCGGGCTGGACTGTGTGATCCTGCCGGGCTGGACTGTGTGATCCAGCCGGCGCTGGACTGTGTGATCCTGCCGGCGCTGGACTGTGTGATCCTGCCGGCGCTGGACTGCAGTGTCCGGTGTTGTCCACCCGTGTGTGATGTGTGACAGTGTGACGCCGTGCGCTCTGCCCTCAGATGGACGAGCTGGCCGCCCTGTACGAGCAGAGCCAGCGCGACAACCGCGCCAAAGCCGCCGAAATACAGCGCCTCAACGTCGAAAACGACAAACTCAAAGACCAGAACAACTCGCTGAACCGCGAGAACAAGAAGCTGGGCGGTGAGTGGCCGCCGTCCCTCGGCGGCGGCCAGGGCACAGCTCAGAACTAGTGGCTTTTTGTCTAAAAATCAACCGATTAGGAGGCGATTTCAAAATGCGTGACATAACATTACTCTAAAGTAGTGAACATATTGCTATTTTATTTTCAATTGTGTCTTTATTTTTTTCAATGCATAGTTCATGTTCAGATCATCATTGGTAATTTAATAAAACTACAAATCGACCAACGTTGTCGAGGAAAGTGTCTTCATTATTTCAGTAAATTATGTAACTTCCTTTCAAGCCGTTCACTGTGCAATTGCACTGAGGTGTGGTCGGCCCGCTGTCGGCAGACGAGAACCACGACCTGAAGAACGCGCTGGCCGAGCTGACGCGCCGCTACCACGAGCTGGAGCTGGAGAACCGCCGGCTGGAGAACGAGCGACAGGAGCTGGCCGCCGCCTACAAGGAGGCAGAGGCCGTGAGTGGGGCCGCTGCGGCGGGGGTGGGCGCTCACAGACTCCGGCTAGGGCTGGCCCTGCCCGGGTGCAGTTGTCCCTCGTGTGTATGTTGTCCGATGGCGCGTCGCGTCTCCGCTGTGTGCCGACGCTGCGATCAGAGGGCGTCCGTCCGGCCGGCAGCCCCGGCGCGCCGCGCCCGCCTGCGACCGTAGGCTGTGCCGCAGCACACTCGTGTCCAGCGGCGCAGTCTAGCGGTCCGGCGCGCCGGCTGCGCCCCCGCGCTCGCGGCCAGGTATCACCCATTCTAGACTGAGTTCGCGAAATCGATGGATCCGCGGATCTCCTAGGCAGTCCGCAATGTCCCTAGTGGCTCCGCGGACGAACAAGTCTAGTATATCCGCAGACACACGACCGGGTATCTGCGGCTGAACAAAACGTCAGAATAACCGCCAACTCCCTGAAGAGTTGCCGAGATCTGCGAATCACCTGGGGAGTTGACGATTTAACGACTCACCACAGTTTGTTTGCGAATTATTCTTTCGTCTCGCTCAGATATCACATCCAAGCGTTAATGTGCAATAGACATTCTTATTTCGTTAATGAACAGCAAGACATTCTTATTTCTTTGGCATACATGAGCTTCATGGACCCATCTTCGTAGGTACTTCTCTCAATCATGATTCAAAAGCAGCTGTTTGGGCTTCCGCGCATCTAAGCGATTATATGAGGCAAAATGAGTTAATTACCTATATGATATATTTTTTGTTTGTGTAAGGTCAACATAAAGTGTTAACCTCAGATCAAGGTCAGGTCAGAGTCACTCAGGTCACGAAACTGGTCGAAGGAGCTCATATTCCACGTCATTCGATTCGGCAATTTTTCAAAGTACATTGGTTGCTGCTTTCCCGACTCGCTAGCTCAATTTGATCGGGAGTAAGGCGACAAACCCTTATGACCTTACTGACGCCAAAAGTGACACCACGCAACGTCAACGATTCAAAAGTGGAACATTTGACCTTGCAAGGAATGCATGAAGTCACGGTTTCATATGATTGAGGCAGTTTAAGAGAATTTCCGGCGCTAGAATAACAGTTTCGATATTTCCCCCCATTGACTCTTAAATGGTGAGGTCACGTGACCCACCTGGCCTCTAGTGACCCTTAGGAGAAGTCTGAGACGAACACATTGTGACTTGTGAGACTTCTGGAGGATACTGATTCCTGTAAGTTTCATCCCCCTATGAAAGCTCCTTTGACAGTGAAGGCGTTGCAAAGTTGCGACATTTTGGAGTATTGCAGTGGTTTCACTTATGACGTCATAGGTAAGTGACCTGACATGAACTAAAACTGCGGTCAGTTTCAGGAAGTCCGGCATGAATAAAAGGTCAGGCATGCCAACATTGAGCTGTCCATCGCCAGCATGTTGAGAGCAATGCCGGGGAAAAATGTAAAAGGGCAGCACCCTCCCGCCCGGCCGTCGAAGCTTAGCATTACGAGGTCATGAGTCATGGCCTCTAGACGACCTCAGGACGTCAAACAAGTATTCTTTCCAGGTCAGGTCAATGACCCAAAAGTCGGGAAAATCGGGACCCGCTAAAACGCCGTAAAGGGTAGCTGCTATGAGGTTTTTCGGAGTGCAGATCACGAATATCATGTTAGTTTTGATCATAGATGATGTCTTCATGCATTTAGGCCAGGTCGGGTCAAGTCAGGTCAGGTCAACCAGAAGAGGTCCTGCAGAGTATTTGTAGTAGATGTCAACCGCCTCTGACAGCTTCGTAACATGTTATGAAGGCACCAAAACTACTTCGTAACTGTTCATTTGGTTGCTAAATTCGAATTCAGCTAAAAAAATTTGCCTAGAAAAACATGTTAAACTAAAAAACTGAACCGAGGTCATCAAAGGTCAATGACCTGATCTGACCTTCAGGTGACCTTGACACCCACCCTCATGCACGGGACCAACATCATATCACATGTTTGAACGCTTGAAACCACGAAAAGACTGCAAGCGCGCGGTTAATGCGAGCCGACATACGCCGAATCACGATTCCGGCCAAACATGGTCTCGAAAAGTAGTTCACAGGTCAAATGGCATTTGGGTCAGGGTCATGAAATTTTCAGGGTAGGTGTGAATTGATAAACGCGAGGGTACTGAAAGTTTCGTCGCGATCGGCTGTTTTTTACGCGAGTTATTCATGAAAAACCGAGGGTGTCCGTTCGACAGCCCCCGCCCCCCCCTAAACGAGCGAGGGTTAATACAGCAACACTGAACTCTAAACGACAGTGCTTGCCATACACAAAAGAAGTTGTCAAAAAATCGATAGTCTACTCAATGAGAAATATATCTATCCCACTGACGCACGTACCTATGTCTCTAACATTTACCTTCGCCCAGGGCAAGTCGACCTGAAACCGTGCTAAAGTCGGGCTATAAAGCAAATCTATTCGTTCAAGTTCCTGTTGAACCAATTTCCCGGATTTTAAGCCGCAGATGACCTACCGAGTATGCCGTGCTTTTTAGTCATGAGATATCTTCATAAAGCGCATAGGAAATTCGTGAGCTCACTAGAATGAATCGTTACTCCGCGGAATCCCCAGGTGATTCGCGGATCTCGGCAACTCTCCAGGGACTTCGCGGTTATCCTGGAGTGCCTTTTTCATCCGCCGATCCCCGCCCGTTTATCCGCAACAAATATAGTTATTAGTTAGACTAGGTGTTCGTTCGTGGAGGCACTAGGGACTCTGCGGATTCTCTAGGAACTCCGCGGATCCACCGATTTCGCAGACTCCCTCTTACGCCGACACTGACAGGCTATATCACGACGAACTGAGCCGGGGATATTTGTGGGCCGGCCGGCCGAGCGGGCACGGGCTGGTGCCGTGTGTGACCGGTGCCCTGCGTCGACAGGGCCGGCGGGCCGAGGAGGCGCGCGCCCAGTCGCTCTCGGCCGAACTGTCCTCGGTCCGCCACGAAATGGAGAAGAGGCTGGCTGCCAAGGAGGAGGAGCTCGAGTCGGTCAGGTCAGTCGGGGCGGCGGGGCGGCCGTCAGTGGCCGGGCGCCTCACTCAGAGCCCCCGGCCGTCAGTGGCCGGGCGCCTCACTCAGAGCCACGGCCGTCAGTGGCCGGGCGCCTCACTCAGAGCCCCCGGCCGTCAGTGGCCGGGCGTCTCACTCAGAGCACACCCGGCTACGGGTATTGTCCGGCCGTCAGTGGCCGGGTTGGCCAGCCGCCACCAGTTTTTACACCGGTCATCTTGAAACAATGCCACAGTTTTTCGCTGTTTCTTCATGACTTTTGTTCAAATATACACTTAAATGTGAGGCTAGAATTGAACAGAAATGAACTGACATTCGGAATTTCTGCCTCTGGGACCTTGCAGCGCACCACCACATTCCAGTGGCACACCAACAGACAATAAATCACTACCAGTAAAGGGGGGGGGGGCGAATCGGCCCCCACCTGTAGTTTCTTTGCTCTCGACGGAAAGCCACTTAAGCTAGGGGTTCGAAATTTGGTGACTTTTCCTTACTATTCATTGGCCACATTGTGTCAAATATGTGAGTTTCTAGCTTGCGCAGAGGCGTCTCCAGGCTGAGTTTCTCGGGGGTAGTTTTGGCCCAGCTTCGACTGTTCCGACATTTGCCGCTAAGCAGCGACTTCCTTAGGTTTGTACTGGTGATCAGTGGCACCACCGGTCATTTATATGCACCTAAAGACTATGTGACGTCCTTTTACAATGAAAATATTAGAATAGGCGGATCCAGGTACCTGAGACAGGGTATATCAATGTACTACCCACCGTCTTAGCGTGCCTGAATCCGCCTATGCTTAACGAAAATGTGTATTTTGTGCTCACGTTGCATATTTTATACGTGATGCATATATGACACACCAGTCATAAGACACATGACATACCATGACAAATACCCAAAACATCATCCCAAGTTAGCTTACCTGATCCGCCTTGCTTTTTGAAATATCCAAAATATCGGAATATATATGAATGCCCAGTTCATGAAGAAGGGTTCCCTGAAATTTCATCAAAATCGTTCTAAAAAAAAAGTTATAACATTTTTAGTGATGAGGTGTAAAACGCCATTTTTTCGATTTATGTTTGCTTCCAGGACCCCCAATTTTTAACTTTTTTGACTTTTTATAGTCAAACTGAAAGTTTACGATGGGAGCAATCGAATGGCGCTCGTTCCACTAAGATCGGACATTTAGTTTATAATGCATGTGAGCTGCATCATTTCACCCGCTCGAGCGTTCACAATCACAAAAAGACTGGAAACGCACGGATAATGTGAGCTGACAGGCTACGAATCGCGATCACGGCCAAACACGATCTCGATAGACAAGTACCTAAGAGTTCAAAGATCATTTGGGACAGGGTCATGAAATGCTTAGGGTGGGTGTAAAATTGATTACCTCGAGAGCGCTGAAAGTTTCGCGATCGGTCACTTTTTGCGCGAGTTATGCGCGGAGTCTGTTCGACCCCCCATGTGTGCGAGAGTTAACGAAGATTTCTGAGTATGAACGGCCGGACATGTTCGAGAGGCTTACATCTCCGCAATCACTCTAACGATTTACTGGCAGTCTTTTGTAGGGTAGTTTCATCACTTCAGCCAACTACTGGACTGTTTCCGAATTCCGATGCATGTGAATGATCCTACTGCACGTGCCACGTGCAAAACAAAGATATGTCAGTTTTAACTAGTTAATTAAATGTTGAGTTGAGCATAATGAAAATGATAAGAACGGGCTATGAAAATGCAGCTCATATCTATTCAAAAGAAAAAAGAAAAACAGCATGAGCAGCAATTAAAACATCACCCGTATTGGTGTTTTACCAGCGTCTAACCTATAGGGGTGGGATCCGTTGAACCCATACCCCTGCCGTCCGGCCCCTGATCGAGCTAGAGCTTCGCGAAAAAAAAAAACGAGCGTGTTGTCGTGACGAGGGTGACATAGCCAAATCGCACGTGGTCTCGAGAAGCAGGTCACAGGTCAAAAGTCATTCGGGTCAGGATCATGAAGAGTAAGTAGGTGTAAAATTGACAACTCGAGGGTAGGTACTGGAAGTTTCGTCGCGCTCAGCCGTTTTTGCGGAAGCTATTCGCGAAAAACGGAGTTGGTGGCCTCGTTCCACCCCCCCCCTCCCCCATACAAGTGCCAAAGTGAATTGTCTTGATTTTTGTAAGGTGCCATCTTTGTAACGACAAGAATAATTTGTCATATACTGGGCCGATCACGCTGAAACTTGGCATGCACTTAGGCACCCGCACGTCCTTGTGTCACGGTCGGGGTACTGCTGCACGTCGGTCTAGATCTCGAGAACGTCTGGGCGAATTGCTCTCAAATTGGGTACACGGCTAGGGACGGGCGGCTAGGGTGTAGAGCAAAAGTCAACTGGGACCCAAATTGCACGTGTACACGTGCAGGGTGCCACCCACACATCTAGAGGACGGCTGGGCCGAATGTGCGCAAATGTGGCACACCACTAGACCGGTTTGACATTAGAGACTGGTTAGCGGTCAGTGGGTTGGGGTTAGTGGGGTGCGACTGGTTACGGAGCGAGCGAAGCGAGCGGAGTCTTACGTAGAATAACAAAAATTTCTGAGTATGAGCGGCCGGCCGGCCGTGGTCACGCTTTTGCGACGCTTATGTATATTGTATAGGTATCTCAGCAATAGTGGTTCTCTCCATGCACTGTCTATAGGCGAAGTGTTAAAATTTCGCCGTTTGGGAGGGGCAATTGCCCTATTTGCCCTCCCCTGGATCCGCCACTGGTCAGAGACTGGTTGGTGGGGTGCCTTGCACAGAACACACTGCACATTGCACAATTCAGTGGGAAGTACCTCATTGAACTTCTACGTGTGCAGATCTCTCGCTCTCGCCTTCTCCCTCTCCCGCCCTCTCTCTCTCCCTCCCTCCCTCTCTCCCGCCCTCTCTCTCCCTCCCTCCCTCCCTCCCTCCCTCCCTCCCTCCCTCCCTCTCTCTCTATCTCTCTCTCTATCACTCTCTCTCTCTCTCTCTCTCTCTCTCTCTCTCTCTCTCTCTCTCTCTCTCTCTCTCTCTCTCTCTCTCTCTCTCTCTCTCTCTCTCGCTCCCAAAAATGTCTCACTGGTCGTTATTTTCACTCAAATATATCGATTCGGTAAGCATACTCTTTCTAATCCACCGAATGATGAAACGACTTGGGTACGTATGACCAGCATTGTGACTAGCTGCGAGGCCCGGTGGGTGCCGACCGGCCGAGCCCGGCTCAGCGGGAGGAGGGGGGGGGGGGGGGCGAGCCCGGCTCAGCGGGGCGGAGGTCGGCGGCGATCCTCCCAACCCCTCCGGTACGCACCGTCGGGCCCGCCGAAAATAGCCTTCTACACCACCTGCCGCGGCCGAGCCCCACCGCCCGACTCGGGTGGGCTGCACGGACGGAGCGGGGCGGCGCGGCGCCGCGCCGTGCCGAGCAGGCTCCTACTGAGCCGACCGAGCGGCTCTCCGTGTGTGCCGGGACGGAGCCGCACAGCTCCCGGAAACAACAACGGGCAAGTCGCCCGCCGCCCGGCTGAATTGCACGTCAATGCTTTTTTATCTGTCAACATATTTTCAGTGTCTTTGTTTGAGGTAGTTGGTGACGTGCACGCTGGCACCCGACTGCACGCTGGCACCCGACTGCACGCTGTTTGGCGTTCAGTATGAGTGGCCCGGTCCGGTCACTAGGCGGGGGACGGCTCAGCAGCGCCCCCCCCCCCGGCGCTGCCAAGGTCAGGCCGGTGACACGACTGACGTCACCGGTGATCCGTCGTCCGGCGGCCGCCGAGGTCAGGGTCGGCGGCCGCCGAGGTCAGGGTCGCCGGGCGCCGAGGTCAGGGTCGTCCGGCGGCCGCCGAGGTCAGGGTTGTTGTTGTTGTTGTTGGTCTCCCCGGGTCGGCTCACGGCCGACCGTAGCCCAACGGCTCTTGGTGACTGAGGTAGCCGCGGCTCAAGGCCGCCACGGCCCCGCCGTCCCGAAGCTGCGTAGGGTCCGGTCTGATATTGCCGAGTAGGCGGAGCTTCGCGCCAGCCAAGCACGGGCACCTCAGCAGCACGTGCTCCGGCGTGTCTGGGCCCTCGCGACACACCAGGCAGCGCGCCGCCGGGCAGGCCAGATCACTGCACTGTGGGCAGTCGCGCTCGGGGCGGCGTCCGATTCTGTGAAGGTAGCTCTGCGAGCGGCTCCAGTGTCCCGCCCGCAGCTGGTGGACGTTGACCGCCTCGTCGCGAGACTCCAGGAGCACCGGCATCGGCATCCGGTCTCCCATGATGGTTTTGAAGAAGCTGTCTGGCCAGCTGCGACGCCATGCCTTGGTGGCGGAGCGGCCGACTGCCTTCACCATCGAGCGGACGTCCGTTGGGACGGCGTCTTGCGACAGGCTGGATGCCTCTTTAGCCAGCACGTCCGCTCTCTCGTTGCCGGGTATTCCGCAGTGCGCTGGGATCCACTGCATGAAGACTCGGCGCCCTCCGTCCGTGAGCGGAGGTCAGGGTCGGCGGCCGCAAGGTCAGGGTCGCCGGCCGCCGAGGTCAGGGTCGGCGGCCGCCGAGGTCAGAGTCTCCGGGCCGTAGCCACGGGGACGGCAGGAAATAGCGGCCAAACGCAGCCGCTGCCATTCAGTTATCGCTGACCGGTGATGACCATGGGCGTAGGAACCTCACAAAAAGTGTGTGTGTGTGGGGGGGGGGGGCAGCAAAACTTTAACCCGCGCACCGACGGGGGGGCGGATATCCGCCCCCCTGAGGTTTTTCGCGGATAGCGGGAAAACCGCGGCGCGTAGCGCCGCGAAATTTGGTATGACTATTCTCTTATCAATTTTACACATGGTGTGCAAGTTTCAACCTCCTAACTTTTAAGGTCAGGTCACCAGGTCACTTTGAATGACCCAACCTCAAGTCACTTTTTTGCAACTTTGTCACCGTGCCAGAGCTACAGTAGATGTCGGAGGCCTTTGAAAGTCGCAGGATGTTATAAGGTCATTAGTA